GGCTTTAAAACTGAAAACTAAAGCTGGTGGTAGAGTCCATGTTTTATTCTTGGAGCACCCAGCTGTGAGCTCTGCTTTCAATGTATGCTGATGATATATATGTGCATTTGTTAAATTCTGGTGTTATTTTGACCCTGGCTCATCCTCAAAACAACAATAATTTTTTTGGTGAACAGAAAAGGGATTCACAGAAATACTGACCATCCTTTTTCTTCTGGTTAGCCAATAAGCTTTTAACTGTTACTAGTACTTTCAATACACAACCTACCTACCTATATCAATCTTTTTTATTCTACCAAACTGAATAGATGGGAAGTGTTTCCTTAAATGACTAAATATGAAGTTTTCAGTAAGCAACAAAGTAAAAATCATCAGGCCATAACTGCAATATCACATATCATCTGTATTTACTCAAATATAAGACAAGAATTTCTTTGCCAGTCAACTTGGGAAAAAGGTCCTCATCTTACGTTCCATTACAAAGAAACCTAATTAAATACACTATCATTAAACTGGTGCTGAAAGCAGCACATGCTCAGTAATGGAAACCAACTATGAAGCTAATTAAATGTAGCCAACACTGAGCATAACTATAAAACATATGGCCTATATTAGACAAAAATACTGAATATAATATACTGAATATATAATATATGATGGAGTCAGACCAGGTTGTCCTGTGCCTCATCTGCACATACATTTTTGGAGGATCCCAGGTTTCATGACAAAAACACCCAGTTTCAATCATGAGTGAGGAGCAAATTACTACATGGATCCTTTGTGGGGGTTATCTGGAGTACACACACATACTGAGAATTGCTGAGCTATGGTATATCATGAGCTTTTTATCTTTTAACTAATATCATAGAAAGAATCATATGAAATTAGGGTTGCACATGACTTCAGGAGGTCCAACCCCCTGTTCAAAGCAGGACCATCCCCAACTCAATCATCCCAGCCAAGGCTTTGTCCACCCAGTTCTTAAAAACTGCCAAAGATGGAGATTCCACAGCTTCTGTAAGCAGCCTGTTCCAGTGTTTTACAACCCTCCTAGAGAGAAAGTTTTCTTCCTAATATCTAACCTAAACGTCCCTTGCTGCAACTTGAGACCACAGCTCCTTCTTCTCTCATCTTCCACCACTGAGAACAGTCTAGCTGAATTCATCCTCTTTGTAACCATCCTTCAAGTAGGTGAAGGCTGCTATTAAATCCCCTCTCAGTCTTCTTTTCTCCAGACTAACTAAGCCCAGTTCCCTCAGCCTCTTCTCATACATCATATGCCCCAGCCCCCTCATTATTTTTACTGCCTTCTGCTGGACTGTCTCCAACTTGTCCACATCGTTTCTGTAGTATGGGGCCCAAAACTGGACACAGAATACCAACTGTGACCTCATATCATAGTTTGTGCTTTATACAAGAAAATACAAAAATGCGGCTTAAAAGTGTTTTTATGGAGTATCTCTGCTAAAACTTGCAGCAATTTCAAAAAATCATACATCAGTTCTGGATGAACTAAGCCTATAAGTACCCACAGTAATTTGCTTATGTGTTTACTTCAAAGTCTGTGCTTTCATATTTGCCCCTCACTTCCTTAGTTCAGGGAGAGTAGGGTCTGACAGTAAGGACAGGGGCAAGGGGCTTCAGGGAGAAGGAGTTGTGGGGGGGGCAAAGGGCAAGGGGGGGCCACGTGACCCTCCAGATTTATTTTCTCTGCTGTAGCAATGGAAGGAGGACAAATTCAAAGCAAACCTGCAATAATTGTATTTTATGCCTGGAAAATTATAATAAATGTATACATTTTCCATATATATCTAGGGGTGCACTGATAGAGATTTTTGGGGCTGATACTGATAGCCAATTTTTAAGGAGGCATATCAACTGATACCGATCCAATTTCTAATACCCAGCCTGGCAATGTGGAGACTTGCCTCCAGCTGGTAAGTCTGGTGTGGTGGAAGAGGAGTGGGGAGGGAAGGGGCTGGGGGTGCAGATCAAGGTCCACATGGTGAGGGAGGAGTGGGGCTGGGACTGGGGCTGGGGCAAACACTGCCTACCTGGGGTGGGGTGGGCATGGGACAGAGCTGAAGCTCGTCCAGGGGACACAGTGAGGGTGGAGGTGGCTCCCGCTGCTGCACACCACTCATCCAGGAGCCACTGGTCTGGCACTCACCTGCTTGCACGGTGGCTCCCGCTGTTCATCCAGGAAGGCATGGGTGGGAGAGGTGACCCTGGATCTGTGTGGGATGGGCTGGGGCTGCACCAAGCTCTTCTTCGTGGGTTGTGGCTGCACTGGGAAGGGGGTGGGGGCTGCAGCCACAAATTCACTGTAGCCCCTTCCCAGCACAGGCCTACTCCACTGGGAAAAGCTTGGCACAGCCCTGGCCCCAGCCCACTCCACGCAGGTCCATACACCCCCCCCACTCCATGCCCTCCTGGACCAGCGATGGGAGCAGCGGTGGGAGCTGCCAGATGAGCAGGTGAGTGCCAGACAAGCTGCTGGATTAGCAGCTCCTGGATGAGCAGACCAGAAGCTCCCACCAGTGGTGGTAGCTGTCCCCTACCCCTGCACAGCCCCCCCTGGACAAGCCACAACTCCATCCCGTGCCTGTTCCTCTCTGGCTGGGCAGCGTTTGCCCCAGCCCCACACCATCCTTTACTGCTGGGCCCTTGATCTGCCCTCCCACTCCCCCCCTTCTCTCCCCTCTCCCCTTCCACCACACCAGACTTAACAACTGCAAACAGCTCTCCATGCTGCCGGGCTCTGCTCTTCACTGGCTGTGGTGTGGCAGCGCACATGCATGGGCCATTTATTGGCCAAATTATCGGCCTGATATGGCCAATTTCTGATATAGTAAATTTCTTTATATCAGTGCTGATCTGATATCAGATCAATGTATTTGTGCACCTCTAATAGAATCTAATGATTGGGGAACCATCTTATAGTCATAGTTATCTCATATTTAAGTAAATATGGTAAATAATTTACTTGTGGTTTTACTGTTTGTGGAAAAACTATTTGTACAAATTGATAGTTTTTTTGCTGGAATAATAGTTGCTATACTATACACTTCTCATCACCATCAATAAAATACTACGGCAAATAACCATTTATATTGACCAGAACAGATTTTTTAAAACCATTTACTGGCTTCGACTGAGTTGTTGCCTGCCTATACACATACTGGTTCACATTCTAACTACGATGTGTAGAGCAGAAGTCTGCTCCATGTTCTAATTAGAATGCATCAGCATGGCCTCATTATCATGTATATAAGCCCCTGCAGGTTTAAAAATGGCCACTAAGGCTCTTTATCTAAACCTTGTTGAATGAGGCTTAGATAAAGTGTCCTGTGGCCATTTTTAAATCTGCAAGGGCTTAATGTACATGGCAGTTTACATGTGGTAGTGAGGTATTTTAATTAGAATAGCATTTCAGGAGTTGCTCTGTGACAGGTCTTCCCTGGGCTGGTTAGAAGTTGGCCCACTCACCTGTTTCTGGGCTAACCGCCTGCCTCTTCACCTGCCATGCCTTGGTGATGCATAATTATGGTGTTAATTATGTGGGAGGCTGACCATTTCCTGCCCCAATGTGGCTCCGAACCTCCCCTACACTGCAGCCCATGCCTCACAGATGGCATCTAGGTTCTTAACGTCTCTGGCCCCACACTGGGCCCCATAACCCTGCAGTCTGGACCCAAACTAGATCCCTCCTAATTTGGTGGTCTACTTCACCCTCATTCTGGCCTACCTAGCTCCCTGAACTCTTCCCCTCTTGGGTGTGGCCCCCAGGTACCTTTGGCCACACAGGCCCTGGCCTCACCTCCAAGGCCAGTTGGAACCCCAGGCCCTCAGTTCTGAGTGTCCCTCATGGTGGGCCCCTGACCCTTTGGACCCTTCTGGTCCTGGCCCCAGCACTGACCACTCAAAGGTGTCTCAAGTCAGGCTTCTGAGCAAGTAGCCCACACTCTTTTACATGGGTCTGCCTTCTTGGGCCCTACTACAGGGTTACCCACCCAGTTGTAGGGGCTAGGGCTATTAAGGTGCCCTGATCCACCTTTCTTCGGGGTGGTAACTGGCCTGGCATTTCCTGGGGGCTGTCCCACCATGAACAGCCCCACCAGGCCACCCATCCCCAGCAGGGTGCAGTTTTAGGTCATGCCCAGGACCAGGAGCCTGCTCCATCCCCATAGCCCCAGACCATAAACCTCCAAGCTGTTTCTGAACCTCAGGTTTGCTGGCTGATGTCTCTCTCACAGCTGCCAGCAGCAAACTGCTGCTTCACCCTATATACATTCTGGGTCTCAAAATGGCCACTGTACTCAAGCAGCTGGCTGCTGCCTGCTCCAGCCCTTGAAGTGGCAGGCACCAACAGTGCTCTGCCACACACTCTAATTAAAACACACTGCCTGACCCCAAAGCATGTGTATAGGCAGCCTTTGTGATTTTACCATTCGTAAATCAACTGAATAAGATATTTGATCATATATAATGTTTCTTTTTTAATAGAAAGATTATTGTAATACTGGATAGTACATAACACCTCTAACAGCTATTTTGTGTCTGCACTGGTTCTGAGTTTATGCAGTTGTTTCCTCCATGACCTGTTATATTCTTCAGATCAATAAACCTACAATTTTAAAAATGCAACTCACTGCTGTCGACTGACAAAATAAGAAAGAAACTAAAATCTTCAGTAAATGAAGTATGTTTGATTCAGGATCAATGGTTGTAATGTTTAATAGAGGATTGACTTAACTGAGCTAATTTCCATTCTAGAGGAAAAAATATTACCATCAGAGGTTCCTCCCCCCAGTCTCAAAAGGTTGCTCAGGCAAGCATCCTGCTTTTGCTCCCCCTAAACATCTACAGCTACATCTTTGAGATTACATTCTTAAGACATTCTTGGAAACCTGCATACAACATATACTGCAGTCAACATAAAATGAACTCATGTATTCAATGTGCCTGCATCTCAGTGAAAAAAAAATGGCTTAGATTACCAGGCAAAGGATCTTGATCTGCATAGAGGGCTGGCAGTTCTACACAAGTGTCTTCATTAGGCTTGAACCAGTAGTCAAAAGCTAACCACATCTCCTGGTCAGTGCCTGTGTGCTTCATATGCAGTAAGTCTAAGTGCCAAGGTTGATTTAACTTGGTTTGTGGAACAGCTACTCGAACCTTGTAGACTGAGCCAATGCCTGCTAGTTCATCCTATGTGAGGAAAAGAAAAGTCAAATACATCGTTATTCTAGCAGTCCCAGGTTTAATTTGTTGCCAGATGCACATAAGAAATAAAGATCATGGCAGTTTTATAATTGTTACTTTTTCTCTTTTACACAATACAAAATTGATTTGCTAACTGAATGAGCTAAAAGGCTCTCTAGAGGATTGATTAACAGAGAATTGGTGACTTTTTCATGAGGGTCACTGGGGAAAATTGTATACAGAACAAAATTAGACCCAGCAATACCCAGTGATACTGTGCACTACTTGCAAACATGTTATTGATCAGAAACACACCAAACGGTTCATCTCAAACCTGATAACAGAAAAATCATTTAGCTTTTCATTGTATAGAAGTCCAAATTAGTAAACCCTTAACTGTGTAAAAAAAGTTTCCTCCATTGTACAACACAAACAAATGTTGCTGGTAATTGCAAATGTTAGGTAAAATAACTAATTTTTAAGGAGAATTCAGAGAGAAGGCAATGTATTAATACACTCAGACTTTTGTCACAGTGTGCATCACAGTTTGAAACAGATTGTCCTTTGGTGAGTTCCCCTTGCATTCATGTTGGAGCAGACCACTTCTGTTTCTATTGGTGATTGCATAGCTCCCCAGTTACACATAACATTATGCAGCTAAGTAATATAGGGAAGAGGTCAGGATTTTTTAACTGTATTTAAGGAATTATTTTTCCTTCGGGGCTAGACAGGGACCATTTCATTTCTTTTTTAAATATCTGCTTTTCATCTATTTCCTTCACATTCTCTCTCTGCCTCCCTTCTTGCACAATCAGCCCAGCTAGGTGTGTTTCCCAAACATGTTTCCTGACTACTTTGTGCTATCTACTACTGCTTTGTATCTGTTTTTATGTAGCAGAAGGCCCTGAGGAAGACAGCCAAACTTGCCCCTCCCTTTTTCCATCTTCTTTATATTGGTGTCACAGCTCTTCTGTTGCTGGTAGCAGCACTTGGGAGAAAGGGGACAGCCAAGAATGGTCCATTATGTTAATTGACCATTACTCACTGCAAATAGCCACTTACCACAATTTAAGAACCACTGATTTACTTACTATACTGCCTAAATTAGATCCCTCCTCCACATAAAGGGCAGCTCCTTCAATGTGGTGCTAGGTGCAACCTTTGTATTCAGAATATATTGTTGACCTTTGGCCAAGGAACTGATCGCTTTTTGGGGTCAAGCTGGATTGTTTTTGCTAGTGAATAATAGTTGAATATTTCTTCACTGCAATCATGTTTGTTCACAAAGGATGTACACAAACCATGTTACTTCAGCATGGCAACAACCACAGGAGGTAACTTTTTGCTCACAAATTCAAGTCTGCTTTCTAACCAGCCTGTGCCCTGAAATAGTTCTGCTTTTCCTGGATTCCTGCCAGACTCATTGTCACTAGTGCTTCTCAAGTTTTCTAGTCCTGAATGCATTTTACATGTGTAGCTCCACTAATCAATGTTCTAATCCAGTGATTTTCAGCCAGTGCCACGGGGTGCCAGTGTTAGCACTGTTAAGTATGCAAACACCTACACATGATTCACAAGATAAAACCAAAGATTTCAAACAGGAACCCACAGTGTCAAAAACCACTCTGACCTGTTGTGGTCTTCCTGAGTTCTCTGCAAGATAAGAACTCGGTGGGCAGGATGGGGGGGGTCAAGTTTAATCTTTCTGTAGTCAAAAAATGAATGAAAGCTCAGAACTGCTATTTTCTGAGGGTGTCTTGAGTCTAAAAAGGCTGGGGATCACTGCTCTAATATATGAATTTATAATATGTTGCATGAAAACCCCTCTTATTTTTCCATGAGAACTACAGTCTCGGCCCACAGCTTCTAATGTTTCAGCTAACTTGAAGCAAAATGGCATTTGATTATTCCTTCATGTATTCTGAACAAAAAATGGCAAACACACTCATCACTTCAACAAGCTAAATATTTCTGAATATCAAAGGCACCTGTTGGTAGACCACCAGCTTAGCAGCATTTATTCCCTGGTTGATAAGCCATCAGAAAGGTACTTCAACTTGTCATACTGTAGAGATGCAATTTGATCTAAGTGATATGTTCAAGGGTTCTAGGAGTAATAGTCACTTAAATCTGCCTTCTGCAGTAAATATTCCCTCAAACATGGTTATGGAGGTAGGCAGCTTGGGTGCAAAAAACAAAACACACAAAAAAAAAACCACAGAAAAGAAAAATCCTACCACTCAGGTATATTAAAAGGCTACAGTCAAAAAAGAAAAATCTGGCTCTTTTTAAATTAAATCTTTGTTACTCTCTGGATTGTGACAGTAGTGGGTGATCCTCTCTCTCCTTCACAGCTGTTAGGAGGAACTACAAGTCTAAATCTGCTTGTTCAGTGCTAATTTTAATTATTTTTCCTTTCCCTGCTACAACTGTAGTATGTGCAGAACAGAGAGCAGTGTCAAAAAGTGTTACAGGCCTTGGGACTGCACCTGTTGACTTAGAAATGATATTTAAAGACTTGTTTTGGGAGAACTGGCTTATAGGTGTATATATATATTTATAATGATTCAGGATGGGCAGCTGGGGTCAACTGATTTCTAAAGAGCTTGGGTCTTGCGCATAGGGTTCCATATAGCCTCCAAGGCAGACAGGCTTTCTAACACAACAAGGACAAATAGTAGAGGAAACAATCTTGGAACTGGGAACATATACCATACTGTTCCATAACATAAGATAAGTGGCACCAACTAACAAGGCCTCAGGGCTGAGCCCTGGTTTTGGGGGAACAGACCAAATTAGGAGAAGGCCCAGAAGGCTACATAGATGTGTGACCACACAGGGTCAACCAACCAGAGATAGCCACAGATCAAGAGTCATCAAGAGGGAATGGGAATACAAAAGCAGAGATTTGAGAGTAACTAAGGGTCCCTTCCTTTGTCTCATCTCTCCCACCCTCTCCATTCCCATCCCTGTCCCCCAGGAACAGTCCCCAAGACTACCCTGGACAGAAGGCATATCAGCAGCCCATCTTATGCACTCCACTGAAGAGGGGGTGTGGGCCTCGGCATCCTACCTCCAGACTGCCAATATGTTGACATCTGACCCTTAAGAGACAGCCTCAGAGTGAAGACTGTCCTGGCCAGATGTACTTTGACTCTGATGACAGCCCTAGAATTTGGTAGATATATACAACTGCTTGATTGTATGTATTGTTTCTTTTCTGTTAATTTCTGTATCAATAAATTTGCCTATTATTGAGTGTTAAGGTTGTGGTCAGTCTGAGGGTGGGTCCTCAGATTCCCCCACCCCCAGAACAAGTGCTCTGGATCCTAAATCCACATCTAACAGCACCAACACCAGGAAGGAGTTATAATTCCAAAAAGGGAAGGGTGCATGTGGGATGAGCAGTAGGATCACTACTGGATATATATGCGTCTCAAATGTTTATTGGCATTTAACTTGCTATGGAGAAGGAAAGGTGACAGACAGAGTATAAAAGTGAAGTGGCTGGATGACAGATGGAAAATGGAGGGCAGTGATGGGAAGAAAATATATTGAGGAAAAGAAAAAGAAAAGATGAAGGACTACAGGAGGGGGCATTAAGCAAGAGGCTGGACTAGCTGTGAGCAAAGGATAAAAGAAGGAGGGAATTAGATCGCTGGAGGGAAGGAAGAATTAGGCATGTCTACACTTACCAGGCAGCAATGGTCTCAAACTACGTTACTTTTGGTAGACTGCTTTCTGAACCAGAAGCAGGGTAGCCATGCTCACGTGGCACTTCAGGTAGGTTAGTTAGCACTTCTGAGTAACAATGACAATTAGCTTGTTCCCTGTGCTAATTAGCACCATATTGCATTACACAGACATGGCTACACTGCTTCTGGTTCAGAAGATAGTAGCACAAGGCAACACAAAACATTCAAGACATTGTTGCCTGGAAGGAAGTTTGCAGCCACAGCTTAACAAATGATGAGGTGCAGGATGAACAAAGTAACAAAACGTCTCTTCATCAAATCTTTTGATCTCCAGAAATTTGTTGCTATCCCTGACTTTATTTACTATGGATTATGAGCTTTGAAGAATCATGTTCTCTGAAGTCCCCCAACATGATCTGTTTTCCAGGATTTATTATACAAACACAGGAATCTGTGTCTATAGCCTGGCATGCACAATCACATAGATCAGCAGATCAAACACTACCCTTGAAACTCAAAGGATTTGTTTACCACCAATATGCATGTAAAACCTTCCAGACACAAATGAAAAAGTGTTCCAAATCTCTCAGAAAGATTTGGATATCACAATGCAAATTAGTTAAAATAAAATATTTCTACAGGAATTAAGATTACACAATTCTTAGAGGTTTTCTGTTAAAAGAGGAAGTTTGAACTACTTTGATTTGGGTTTCTTTTCCTGTAATCTGAAGTGCCAACTCTCTGTGATTCAGGTCTCCATAAAAGATGAAAGAAAGATGTATTGGATCCATTTCAATGTTCAAATCAGATCCAACGATGTCCATTATCCACAGACCTGAGGACTGCATGTTGGGTTGAGGCAGTTTAGAACTAGAAATCAATCTTTTACCTTTAAACATAATCAAAGAGAATGAAAACAGCATGAGAGAAAGACACAGTATACTAGGACCATAGGTTTCACAGTATACAAACAAAGGTATATTTGCAGGTTATTTTGTATCTATGGCAACAGTTAACTAAGAATAACACAATGCCTTTATTGCATTTTTGTTTCCAAGAATGTAATTGCCTTAATGTTCTTTTGCATTTTAAACTTTAGACTCATTGATATTTTCTTGATAAAAATTGTTTTTACCATCCTTTTCAGAAGTAATTTTTAAAGAATATACAGCTTCCTTCATAACTCTAATTAACTGTTCTTTCAGAAATGATGAATGTCACTAAAAACCCATTTTACATTTCAAAAAGGCAACATTTCCAACGATAGTGATACCTGGTACAAAATACATACCATAAATGCAATCCCTTTATTAGTGTACCATATCAAAGAATAAACAGTATAATATTGACAGGTGAACTTGTGATATGAAGCATGCTCAAGACACATATCAGACAGTTCTTCATAAAGGAATGTTAAAATACCCTTGAGTAAATTTAGGACAAACTGCTTTATTTGTCCCTTTACTTTTGCAATCTACTTAAACAGTCCTGTGCAAATAATTCATATGATGAATAAAACACCTCAGGGAAATGTATATATTTTTGTCACAGACACATTTCTAAGAGTCAGCTTTTAACTTCCAGATCTTATTTGTAAGGTCCATTTACATGAGTGCAATTATTTGTTAAGAATAATTTTTATGGGAGAGAAGGTGTGCTCACAATTTTTTTCCTTTTATTGTTAAATGGGTTGGATTAATATTATACTTTTTGGAAGTGAAAGGTGAAGGACTGCCCATAGATGATGCAGCTGACACTTCCCAATGCCTTTCTGTCAAATGCACCCTGGTTTTAACTTGGAATATTTCTGCAACAATAGGCAGCAACTGAACAGAGACTAAGTTCCTCTGAACAGTAGAACAGGTTTGTGGTAAGAACTGATGCTTGCACATAAAGATGTTCCTCTGGATTTGTAACCAGCTTCTAATGGAGTAGAAAACTAAAAATCATAGGCTGCCTATAGACATGCTGGTTCATATTCTAATTAGAACACATCAGAGCAAATTCGATTAATCAAGTCTGTTCCATATTCTAATTAGAATGCTCCAGCATCGCTTTACTGTCATGTGTATTAAGTGCCTGCCCCCCCCCGCAACATACACACACACTTTAAAATGGCCATGGGGTTCTTTAACTAAATAAGCTTTAGTTAAAGTAACCCATGGCCATTTTAAAATGTGGGAGACTTAATACACATGATGGTGAGCTGTATTAATTAAAGCGGCTGTCAGGGAATTTCTCTAATTAAAATGGCCCCTCCCCACTCCTGAGCATGTGTCTAGGCACCCATAGACACTTATCCCCATGAGGTGTACTTCTCACATCCTAATCCCCTCATTCAGTCATTAATGGCAATGTGCCAAAGTTAGAGATCTATAGCCAAATTCAAATATAAATAAAGCAAGGTGAAGCAACTTTAGTTCTGTTGCAAAAGAACCTACCAATTGCTCTAATCTCACAAACATTGTTGCATATTCCTAGGTGAGTATCAAGCCAATTCCAACATGGGAATATCCATTCTTCTTCAGAGTCCTGTGATTCCTGGATTGTTATCATCTTTAGGTACATACCAGCCCCGTAACCTTCTCCATCATGTCCTAGAACTACCTTTTGCAAATCACTCAGAGAAACAGCCTCGACTAAAAATGAATCCACCTACAAGGAAAAAAAAACAGTAAAGCAACAAGAATAGAGTGTTTCTTGTTTAAAGAACAGATACAAAATGCAAAATGCACTAAATACAGAGGAACTTTAACCAAAAGCCTGGCCCTGGATCTGGCTAAACTTCAGGGGAAACTGCAGGGGACCTGCATCGAGTACATGAACTGAATTTTGCATAGTTTATACCTGTAGAAGTTTAAAACAAAATCTTCTTTCTGACTGTAACAAAGTTCTGATCCTGGTTTGATTTCTAGGCACTGCAGCTCAGGCCTATTCTTAAGAATGACTGTAAGTTTATTTGATCTTTGGCCCATTTGGAACGTTAGTCATTCCAAATTATGTTAACAAACACACTCTCCTCAGCCTTCTGCATATTAACGGTAGATGTTAGTTATGAAGAAGTCACAGAAAACTCCTGATTTCCAGGATTTACTATACAAACATTCAATAATAGGATCCCAAATGAAGGTCTGGACAAAGTATGTTTATTAATAAACCAGCTTGCTAAATTCCTGAATTCTCTCTGAGTAAACAGAGAATCTTGTCTTTTCTCTTGTATAAAACGTTTTGTCTTGCTTTGTCTTCTATAAAATGAGAAGCAGGTAGGGAAAAAAAGATTTTAAAAAGAACAGGTAGAAGAGGGGAGTATAGACTAAGGCTAGGGACAGATATTCAAAATCCTGAGCCTGAATTGGTCAATCTTTGCAGATTGATATAACCTGGCTAGGCTGAATCACTTTGTAACTGCATAGACATCCCAGAAATTCAGGCACAAGCCTGCAGTGGCTCAGGGTGGAAGCTGGGGGCACTTCCTTCCCTTGCACAAAGCTGAGCTGAGGAGGGCACAGCCAGGATTAGGGCAGGGTTCCACCCTTGAATGATAAATGCTCTGTTATCAGCATTTATCACTCCATCAGAAAACAAACAGCCTCTCTCATTAAACTCTTCTTAAACAAAGAAGGAATGGGGGGATATTACCAGCTTTGATTAGCTCCAAAAAGCCCTGCGCTGACACTGCGGTCTGCCACAGCACAGACCGTAGCCAGTATGTGGTCTGCTAGCTAAGGCTGAGGTGTCTGTGTAAGGCAGAGGGATGGGGGATCCCTGCTTAGCAGAGAGTGGTAATGGGAAGGGGAAAAGCAGGGGGATAGCAGGAGGAAACCAGGCAGACGTTGCTGCACCTTCAAGTCTCTGGCAGAGCTGCAGCCAGGGAGCAGAGGGGAGGAGCTATCCCTGCTGTGAAGCAGATTGCACCACCCAGCCCAGAGAGCATGCTGGGATGCTGGGGAACTCTGATTTAGCTTAAACCTGCAAGGAGTTTGAGACAGACATTGCATAAACCAGTTTGAGCCAAATCAGTTAAGTCTGATACTACATTCAACCAGGTTTATCTCAAACTGGTTTCAGCCATTTTCAAACCAGTTTATGTGCACTGAACATCTGTTCTGTTACAGGTTTAAACCAGTTTTTGATCACTTAAACCAGTTTACATGTAGCCTAAGAGACACACGAAGAAATAAAAAGGAGAATAGGGAGCAGAAAGGGGAAGTGGAAGAGAATAGAGAATAATGCAGAGATGATGGAGATAAGTAAAGGAGGATAGTAAAGAACGCAGAAAAGGATTAAGAAAATGTGGATAGTGAGGAGATGGGTACATGATGATTCAATGCCAGACTACAGTCCTGCTCATTTTTTAGGTCTCTTACCAGTTTATACACTGCCTAAGCCCAGAGTGGTCAACCTGCAGCATGGGCAGCCTTAGTATGTGGCAAGCACATCAGCAGATTGGCCAGGAAGCACATGGTAGGAAGCGGAAAGCAGAGTAGCAGATTGGAAAGGGACCATGAGAAGGAGTGGGGGGAAGAGCAGAAAGTGAAACAGCAGATCAGACAGCAGAAGGGGATCAGTGCAGCACTCAGAGGGTAAGGAGCAAATTTGTGATATGCCCGCCAAAAAGGATGGGGCCACTGGCCTAAACAAAGTCAAAAGGCCCTCAGTGTGGTCAGTAATGGCCTATGAGTTTCGATTAGCACTATAAAAAGTTTACAGCCTCTCAAACACTGAATTAAGCTATAAGTGAGTGGAGTTTCTACAAGTGAGTAGAGCCTCAGGTAATAATCAACAGCCTACTTTTGTTATGCATTTGAAGATCTTCATAAATATAATTACTTAATAAATAAAAGGCACATTAAAAGGGCATGTTAACAAATAATTATGTGAAGCACTCCTATGGGGTTACCACAGTGCCTCATACCTTCAATGCTATTTAAACTCTATTTTAAAAATGCAAAGCAATTTATCTTTGGTGATGTTAAAAATGCTTTAGGGAAATAAAAATATATATCTACTGTTTAAACATTTCATACTGGACAGTCAGATTGCAAGTAGAATTTAGCAGCTCTTTCTCAATTTACAAGTTATTTAGAAAAATCTGTGCTTGAATCTAAACATGGCATAGTGCTGTTTGGTCTTTGCAAATAACCAATAGTAAAAGGATGATGGACAGATGTAGAAATTAAAAGAAAGCATTTTCTAAAATAATGAAGTGCTAGTTTCATTCTTTTCAATGTCGATGTAATTGTTAAATGAAACCACTTTGCAGAAATCAGACTCTTTGCTTCTTTAAGAATGATGGAAGTAAAATAGGCAATCGCTGTTCATAACCGAACTTTCAGTAAACTTCCCTTGGAAGAATCTCATGCACAGAAGCTGAAAAAGCAGTCTTTATTATTCACTCTCCATGTTTAACTTTTTTCAAAGGCATTTTCTGCTTTAAGTAAAATATCTTTTGTTGTTGACAATTATTAATATCAGAAATAAAGAAACAGGTGTATAGAAACAACTATTTAGATTAAAGCAATGCATTTCAGCCATTGAGTTTCCTGCATAAGTAATTTTCCTGTCACTAATTTTAGGTCTGTGTCACACACTGGAACCCATATTTGGGCTATAACAAGTTGAGAGGTGTGATCACAAGCACTCTGACACTGATAAGCTCCTTTACATACACAGATGAAACCCTGATTATCACCTGTGGAACACCTCGGCATGTAGGTGGGAAAGAATAATTTTGTTTAACAGCTGTGAAAATCTGTAAAGTAAATTTGTTCTCCAAATGAATCAAGAGCTGGTGACTATTTTCAGTCAAAATGCATTAGAAGATAATCAGAAAAAAAATACTATGCAAGAAAACTTAACATTATTGTACTTTTTACCTTTCTCCTTTGAAATTTTTCTCCTTTTACCAAAGATGTTTGAAGTTTTCTCACACCTGTGTCTCCTCTTTTACCATAAACAGTAATATAAACATTTGCAAAAGTTTCTGCTCCCCAGTGGTCACCAATGTGTACAGAGACGACATACTTATGGACTATAAACAAAGAGAAAAGAACAGTGCTTAAACAAAACAAATTGAATTAAAAATATAAGATTGAAAGAAAACACAGCACCATTTAAAAATATATTGTAAAATGATTAAAGAAACAGCCCCCCCAACCATTTGACCTGCCACTGAAATCATAGCGAGTCTTTCCATTAGCTCCAGTCATAGCTAGATTGGGCCCATGTGGCTGCATCCACACAAGCCAGGGCATGTGTTTGCAGCAGCACAAATAGTAGCTGCACAAATTAGTGGCGCTACTTTGTGTTGCAGTGCAGGCCCCTGCTCACCCAGTTTGCAGTGGGACACATTGTCACATTGCTTCATGTGCAGTGAGGGGGAGGCGGGGGCTGGCTGGGGCCCAAGTTGCCTCAGCATGGGGCTAGCTGGCAGGAAGCCCCCATGCTGAGACCCCCTGTGCCCCAGCCACCCGGGGAGTGGCACATGGAGATGGGGGAGCAGGCAGCCCTCTGTGTGCTGTGGAGCCCCCATGTTGAGGCACCCTGCACCCCAGCCAGCTGCTCCCCCACTGGCTGGGGGGGCAGGGTACCTCAAGACAGAAGGAGGTGGCCCTGGGCTGACTGCTCTTCTGTCTCCACGTGTCTCAGCGCATGGAGCCAGCTGCAGAACAGCTGAGCCACAGCCTCAGTGCAGGGGCTCTGCAGCATGTGAAGATGGAGAAGCAGACATCCCAGGGCTGCCTGCTCCCCTTTCTCCATGTTTGTCCTGGCACACAACACTTTGCTATGTTCTGCACCACTTTTTTCCCTCAGGATTTTTTTGTTGTTGTTGTCTTTTTGGGGGGTGGGGGTTTGCTACTGGGAAATCCTGGTAGTAAATTTTGTTCCAGTGCTGCAGATTAGCAGTGCAAGGCAACCTGTGCAGTTTGTGGTGCTGCAAAGAGATTTGTGGTGGCACAGACCACGCATGCCTGCATGTCTGGATCCAGCCTGTGGTTCCATAGCTGGGAACATTCTACTCAGTTCTTTTTTGTTGTGTGAGAGCCTGGAGGTTTAAAACTCAAGAGAGTTCAGGTCTCTCTTGTCAAAGGCAACATGTCTTAATATTCAGCAACAGCCAAAGAAGAAGAACTTATCATGAAATTATGCACATTAGAGCAGAGGGGATAGATGCAGCATAGCATCTACATGTATGCTAATATATCTACTCAATGGATTCATTGTCAACGTCAAAATTTCCTGCCTTTGTAATACTTTTATACAATTCAATTGTCTGATGAAGTAAGCTGATTCTTATGAAAGCTTTAGTTGTTCAGTATGGTGCAGATCTACCCTGCCTTCTGCCTAATCTACTCTTGTCAGATTGGACATTCTCCTGAGATTATTAATACAGTAAAAGCCATCTCTACACATATGGATGCCCTAATATAACAGAACAAATCTATAAAAATATTTCCAAATATTGTTTTTAACATATGTTCCTATTTAGTTACTATTTACCCATATAACATGTCAATTAATCAGGTTAGTGCCCCTTTAGGATCAATAGCAATTTAAAATATTTAGCAGCAAATTGCATTAGAACATTCAATTTTCAGAAACTATCCTAGACCACTAAGCACTTGCATGTTTTACTGTAACTTTTCATGAGCAAGTATGGGGTTTTATATGCATTCATTGTCTAGGTGCATTTTTGGAAGTCCTTTGATAATACAGCCATTAGCACATTACAAAAATGCCCTTGGAAATAAAGGACAACTTTATTGCATGGTAAGGACTATTCCTGATATCCACTTCAGTAACTCAAGCTATATATGATAAAATAAAGAATTCAATACTAAATCTACCAAAAAATGACTTCCACAGTCTTGAATTATGTGCCTTATCATTTATTAAGTGTAATTATGTTTCTCAATTTTGCACACTTGGACTTATGCACAAGATTTAACAAATGTTAAATCCAATTTGTCATTAAACTCAGAGAAGTTTTAAAATGTCCAGCATTTTTTCTGGGCACGTATGAACAGAATTGCTGGGGAGCTGCTGTAGATAACTAATACAGAGAAAGTCATAAATTATGATATTGCTGCATTGATTCTTTTTCAAAGGATGGTTCACATTGTTCATATCTTCTTGCTATTTTTACCTGGTAAAGGTTTCTGGTCCTCACTCACTGCAGGGAATTCTTTTACCAGCTCCTTGTCTCCTCTGTTAAGAGACAGCCAACAGCTACAGTCAAAGTTCACTTCTTGTTTCGTATGTAGCTTGTCCATGTGAAAAGACTTTAAATGCCAGCCCTCAAAGCCTGGCAAATCATCACAGGTGACCCGAATCTTGTACACATCTCCCACATCTCCAGTTTCAACCTACAATAAATACCATGAAGAAGAGTGGACTATCAAAACTGTTTCATTAATGGAGACTTTTCCAACCAGCACAGGGTGCATTAAATAAATTTTAACACAAAGGAAGGATGATTTTGTGGTTAAAGTACAGGAAATAAAGGAAGCTATTCCTGGCCTTGCCATAGATTCTAGTCTGACCTTAGACTTAACAGCTTAGTCTGCTTGTTCAGTCCCGTGATCTGTAAAAAAGAGTTGACACTTTTTCCACTAGTGTGCAGTGAGGCTAAATTAATTAAAATTCAGACCGTAAAACCTACATATGGGTGGTACGTAAGGACATGAAGGAAAGGAGTATGTAAAGTATTACGACAATCAATGGGTTTGGGCCTTTAATGTCAGACATGGCAACATTTACCATAACATGAATCCTTGTAACTTTCTACTTTTCCTTATGGCCTGAGGACAAGAGTAAGAAGTTCTTATAGCCTCTTTGTCATCTTAGAGCAGGAGGGAACTCATTGTCTTCCTCTCTTTTCTGCACCTCTTCTAGAGGGAAGGAAGTGGGACCAGAAATGTGATAACTAATGGAATGGATAGAAAAAGAAATATTCATAAGAATCATCAGGCAAAGCAGCCTATATAACCAGCAATGGTGACACCCAAAGAAGGGAAGATTTATCAGTCAACAGCAAGAAATAGTGGGGGTTTCAAGTTAGATAAAAAGCAGACCTAAGGGTTGGACCCTTTACTAATAAATTTTAATCTAAGAGATAGTGGAATATTTTGTATATTTAAAGAAAACTGTCAGTTAAAGACATGACATCTACCACAATCCAGCCTATTGGTTTATGACAGCTTGACTGGTTTATGGAAGGAATTCTTTGTGGAGATTACTTTCAAAACCAAGGTACTGAACTGGATGATGGAAAAGGTCTTTCCCAGTTTCACAATTTTAAAATGAGACTAGAATCAGAAGAGAGTAATGGGCCAGTTCCACCTCCATCCTAAGCCTCAGAAGGTAGGAGAAAATTCAACCTAGAGGGGCAGTGGTAAGAAAGCATCTCCACAGTCCACAGTATTGCACAAGTACTGCCCATGGCCCTAAAGTGCAGTGGTGCTCTTAACTTCTGAATCCCAATTTTTTAGCTGGCACTTTTTTTAGTTGTCCTCTTTTTTTTATCCTGACTTGCCACTGTTTACCTCTAGGCTTTGCTCAAGAAGGCATAAGCCCATCCTCTGTAGAGTGAAGAGAAGGTTTGCATTTCCTTTTAAAGTTCAGCCATACTTTTTCCTAGTCCTGTCCACAGGAATTAAATTGGTTCTACTGTGCTTCAGAATGTCTTTGTACACACAATGGGGCACTGTCTCCCTTTAATAGACAGTGATTTTTTGCAAGCGTTTTTAAAGTTTGTAAAGGGTTGCAAAGGGTCTCATTAGAAATACTATGCTTAGGGCAGTAAGCGGTTTAATTCTGTAACAGGGTAACCTCTACATCAGGTCTCCACCAGCCACCCTGCTCCTGGGGTAACTGCCCACTTCACTCATCTGCTGCACCTTGATGGAAAAATATGACAGTTGCTACTAAGGCAGGAGGTTATCTATTACTCACTCTGCTGACAAGGGCCTAATACCTGGTCCAACCTCCCCTTCACAGGTCCCATGCCTCACAGATGTTACTCTGGTGTTACTTCTCCGGCCTATGGCCAGAGCAAACTGGGCGCACGGTTGTGGCTCTTTTCTACGGCCCCAGAGGGCCACTCATATACCACCCCTCTCTCACCAGGATCCCACTTAGTCTGCTGGCTCTCATCCAGCCTCTTTCATACTGCCCTCACTCAGGGCCACACTCATCCTGCCTGGCTTTTGGCTTACCTCTCCTCATCTCGGTCAGCCCCAGCGCAGTCTGTTGGGTGTCTGGCCCCTTGCCATGCCACTATGCTTCCACTGGGCCTCCTCACTTGCCCACACTCCTAGGGCTGCTCTAATTGTTGCCCCTCTCTCAGGGTCTCACTATTCATTGCCTCCCGGCTTTCCCTGCCACCTGGGCATGGCCCCAGGTCCCTCCTCTGACCTGAGCTCTGCTTCAGGGTTCCTCAATGAGCCCTGGACTCCCCCTGCTCATTAGAATACCACCAGGGATGTGGGGCTGGGATTATAAGGCACCCCGCCCCTCCTTTCACTAGGGCGGTAACTGGCCTGGCATTTCTTGGAGGTTCCCACGCCACTGGGAACCCCACCAGAGCACCCTTCCCCAGCACAGTACAGTTTTATGTCTTACTCAGGACAAAGGGGTCACCTCCATCCCATAGCCCTTGACCTTACCTCCTGACTATGGGTGGAGCAGCCTGTAAGTCTGATGTTACTTCATTTCTCCTAAAGGAAACTTCAGCCCAGTTTATATCCCTGGGTCCAAAATGGCTGCCTTTATCAGGCACCTGGCTGCTGCCTGTTTCCTACCCTTAAAGTGGCAGGCACCAAAGATGCCCTGCCACAAATTCCTTTAAAAGTATATATTCATCTCTTACTAACACTAATTGTAACTTTTCCAATGCATCAAGAGGGAAATGCACTGTTCTTTCACATGCCTAAATTGTGGCTTTCTTCAGAAGCAATGGTGTAATTAGAAGGGACCTACTTAAATCATGGCAAAACAAAGGATTTTTCATGGCCAAAAGGATTTTTCACATCCTGTTTGTGGCATGCAGAACTGATTTCATGGGCATTGAGCAGCGGCCGTGCCCCATGCCACTGATTGGCAGTGAGGCCCTGCCCCTCAGGGAGGAAGGACAACAGGGCGGCCACCATCTTGATTGCTGGCTGTCTTTGTGCCACCCCACATACCCATTGGTAGAGGGGCCCTAGCAGGGAGAGGAGGGTTGGGAGGAAGCCACCATCTTGTATACTGCCCTCTGTGCTGCCGCACCAGCCAGTGCCTTCCAGGCCCGGCAGCAAGGACCACTGACTCCCACTGGGAAGCCACCATTTTATTTTTTATTAAGCTGTTTTTCAATGAGTTTCTGGATTTTATGGGCAATCCTGAATGATGTGGTTTCCACAAAATCTGTGAAACCGTGAATTAAGCAGGTCCCTAGTCATTAGATCTTCTGTTTCAGAGCCAGATAACCTATTTGTAAGATTATTGCCTGCAGGTTTTCCTTCTTAGAAATGGAATCTGGATTCCATTTGTATCAGTCATATATTCCAGGGATTGCTTACTCTACCTTTGTTTAGAAATGCAACATTAAAGCAATCAAATATGTCTCTTTTAACTTAGTGTGTTGCAGTGTATCTCACACTCATATTTTGCCTTATTCAGTCTGGGCCTCTACATCTCTAGATTTCTCTACTCTTACATTTTAAATGCCTAATGACAATTTTAAAGGTATTTATTGCATTGCTTGCAGAAAACAAGCAGAGAGTATATACTGAAGATGTACTACACAAGGAGTTAAATTCATAAAATATTTCACCATGTTTCAAAGCATCAACTGCTTGAAAACTTTTCACCTACATTTCTTACAGCCATGATTTCATGGAATGCTAAGACTGTAACATCTAACAAGAAAATGTCTGTAACCAGACTTCCCCCTAATCTACTCAATTACACTATATTGGACAATTTCAATTAAATGTACTAGATACATCTCTCCTTTAACATTTTTGCTTTAAGTTGGTCCCTTTTCTATTCAAGTCTTTCAGTCCATCATCCTACCTGTACACTGTTACCATATCAATTTAATATGATAAATCTATCATTTATCTAGTCTCCTACCTTTGATACAATAATTAACTTTTCACCCTCTGATCCCTGTTAGTTTCAAATTAATGTAAAAAGCCCTTCAAAGAGGTGATCAAATAATATGTAACAAAGTACATGACCTCTTCCTCAGTTCATGGAACGTTTGCAAGCAGAAATCCATTTCTCTATGTTTATTCATAATTCAACATTTCCTAATTCATTTTTCCATATGTATTTCCCTCTCAGTTGATCATTGATTGACTCAAGTATTTAGTCCTTCATACTTGAAATGTCTGTGCAGTATTAGTTGTGATTGCTCACATACTAAACAGCATGGTGTTGCTTCTTTTCTATAATTGAAGAAATGCAGCTCTTATAATCAAGAGAAAGTCTTGAAGAAGCCACTAAGCTTTTGGTAAGGGAATTTTATAATATTTAAAATCTTTTCCTTATTGTGCTATGTAGGACTTCTCCAAAGGCATCAATCTTAGAATATGGAGACTGCTGTATGATTTCTTATCTGGGTGCAGCATTTAAATTAAATTTTCTGTAATTTTCACATAAAAAGAGGGTGTGTGTATGAATGATGCCGGTTAGAAAGGGTGTGTATGAATGATGCCGGTTAGAAAGGGTTTATTCATTTAATTGCCTGTCTATAACAGCTATAGAAATCCAGACTTCAGTCCCATCCCAACAAAATATACACAAAGGTCTTTGAGGGGTCTTTAATTTTTTGTCTTCCTCTTCATCATTAACATCAAGTAGTCATGTATTTGTGCACTGTTGTGTTTTCATAGGCTTCTGTTCACATGTTTGCTTAGCTCATTTGCAACTGTGTTAACTATCTGGATAGTTGTTTTAGGGACCCTATCCCCATAATGTGTCACTTTTCATATTATGGTTATTTGGATACTAAAAGCACAGATAATGTGCCTTCCAAATACATCCTTTGATGAACTTGGAATGCAAGATGTCAGGAAATAGGATAAGCTGTTGGAGAGGGATATATACATATTATACAAATGTGCATGCCCATGCAATCTCAGTATTTACTTTCATGACCTCTGTGGCCTAATTAAACCACAAAGGGATCAACTGAGTATAGCTAAAGTAAAACACAGTCATTTACATAAATACAAAAAAAGACTGGGTTTTTTGTTGGAGTTCCCCACCCCTTCTCTCCATTATTAGCTCACCTCCATTTCTGACCAATACATTTTAGTTTATTCAATTCCCCCTTCAAAGAAAATAGAGTCTATTCCAACAATATAGGTTCCTCTTCTGTTTCCTGTTCTGTATTGGTTTCTCTATTGCTCTTCTCCTGCCCAGCCCTGCCACTCCCAGTGGATTCAAAATATAATTTCTCTTTTCTCAATTTGCTTGCTACATCTAATATGTAGTTAACTTGTTTTTAACTGGCAGCTCACCCAGTACTACAATTATCAAAGCTTAAGAGCACTGAAAGCAAATAGATTTAAATTGAGAGTTCTCTATTGTATTACATACTTGGTTATATTTGTTTACCATTTGCAATGAAGGAACTAATGATTAAATACTTTCAGAAGACTATAAGAAGTATTCTGGGCCTAATCAGCAACTGCAGTGTACAAACACAATGTGTATGCACTTGACTTAGAGCTCCTGAGACAGTTGCACCCTCAAATGCAATGATACACATATAAATAAGTACACAGAGTACGTGAACGATGCATGCCCCTGGCAGCTGGGGAGGCACAGCAGTGGCAGGAGCACAATGGTGTTAAACGGGGAGATCCTGCAGATGCCGCCGGCGCTGCTGGCAGCGGAGGGGGTGGGGGTGGTGAGTGCCAACCAGGGGTTGGCAACCACCCACAGACACCACCACCAGCGTCAGCAGTGGCCAGCAGCCAGCGGTGATCACTGACCATCCGCAGACATTGCCAGCAGTGTTGACAGCAGGGGTGGCGAGTGGCGACTGCCCTCAGGTGCCACCAACAGTGTCGGTGGCACCTTTTCATAGAAGGCACACCTCCATGCTCAGGGGGTGCACGTGCACCCGTGTGCACTCCCTACACGTTGCCAGTGACAGAGTATGTAATAAGTGGATCTCTGGAGACAAAATTAAGCATATTTGTTAACTGTTTTGAAACAATTCAACTTGCCTACACTGCATAATTTGCAGTCCTTCTTTTTTCCACTTTAGATTGCCTAAAATCAGGATCTGCATTTTTTTAGGAGTTCAGCAGCTCCTGCTCATTGCTCAGCCAAATTCATAGTTCTTTGTTAATCATGACATCATAATCATTTCCATAGTAAACTATTGTGCTGCCATGAATGGAAACAGATGAGCTCATTTAACAAAGATCCTGCATTATACAAAGGTCCGTAGTAATGATGACAAATACAAGAAGAAAAAAGAAACTATGGTATATCAAACAAATTGTTTCTAACCAGAACAGTTTTCAGTAGTTTTCATGAAACACCAACCACTATTGAACACTTGGCCTCCTGATTTGATTTGCCTACAACAAAAGCTGTGAAACACTGAGTCATGTAGCGAAAAGACAAAACTTTATGCACAAAAAAGAATAAAATGATATTAAGGTTCTGACATAAAGCAAAAACTAAAGGCATAAACAGCCAAGAGGAAAAAAGAAGAGTACCACACGTATTCCCAAATATAAACCTACAAGAATTATTACAGTTTTTTTCTATGTGTATTTCCAGAGTGCTAACTAAAGGAAAAATGATTACTTACAATTTGCTATACTAGTTTCAATAGCATGTACTTTGTCACTGAAATTAATCACTCTTGCCAAGAGATACCCCTTGCAAATGATGCCACTTGGAGAATTCCAGTCAGCTTGGATATGGCTAAGCTCTGATTTCTGCATTTGTTAGAACATGCTGCAGCAGGGACAACAAGCCAAACTGTGTGGGTGTTTCACAGAGTATCTGCCTTTCTTGAGACTGGAAGTGCTTGCTGACAACCTGCCTCGTCTCTAATCACTGGCTGCTTTCCTGCCCTGGGCCAGGTCACTTTGGGGAGTTTTCAAGCATCTACTTTAGTGCCCTTTTCTAAAATGTTGTCCTATACCATATGTTTTTGGTACTCAGTCATAGAACAATCTTTCAGTGCCTTCAGCAACTGCCTTGGTTGCAAGCTACTGCCTTCTGGTGACTGGCTAGAAGGCACACGTCTCCTAGGCCAGGGGTGTCAAAGATATGGTTTGCAGGGCTTGGAGAACTCCTGGAATTCAAAGCTGGGGCAAGCAGGGACAGATCCTGCCACCAGATCCTGGGATAGGGGGCCCAATTAGAGATACAATTGGACCACAGCATAGTAAAAAAATGGCTGTGTTAATCTCCATGGTTCCCTGAATACAGTGACAGTTACAGTTACAGCCACTCACTCCACCATCAGATTTGGGTCTGGCTCCAGCCTTGGAGGATCCCTGTGGTCCAGATATGGCCTGGGGTGGGGACAGTGGGTTTTTAAGCCAACCATTACAATTTGTAATTATTAAGTCTAGATGGCCAAGGTAGATTGTGACCTCCTAAGAGCAGCAGGATGAGTTCAAGAACCTTATATGTGAAGTGTGTAGATAACCAAGATCATGTTAGGGCTACTTCTGAAGTTTTGTAGTTTGTCATTGTTACCCCAAGAGGTGCCCTGGTGAACAGAGCATCTCCGATCCCTTGTTGTGTCCCCCTAATTAATTTGTAGGCAGCCATAAGATCACCTCTCAGCCTTCTCTTGCAGAGGCTGAAGAGGTCCAGGTCCCTCAGTCTCTCCTCATAGGACTTGTTGTGTTGCCTCTCTTATCATCTGCATCCAAAATTCTTCAGAAAAATTAAAGAAATGCAGAACTATGGACAAAATGTAACCAATTGCAAGAAAAAGATCATATTTCTCCCTTATTTATATCCTTGATGCCCAATCATGTACAGTAAGAAGTGATAACTTCAGCTGGATACAGGAAAACAGGATGATGGGCAGAAAATGGCCCAAGATCTAAAGCTGTATCACTCCATCTTTATAAGTAAATATGTCACTTGTAGCAACCAAAGTAACATTTCACTATATCTTTTGGCTAAGTAGTGTGTCATTATAATTTCTGGTTAGTGTAATATATTTATGACTTACTAGGAATTCATCCATTGCTCTAGGTAGAAAGCATTTTTGTCCTGGGCTTTGTGGAGAAAGCAGAATGTCATCACTTTTGCCCTTTGATCCATATATCACAAGGGTTCTTTTCCATTCCTGTGATTCTGGGGAATCCCCAGCAGTTTTAACCTGCAGTCTCCACCGCTGTCCTAAATAGAAGTAAAAATATCACCACATTTTAAACGCTTGGAGAAACTGAAGACAGTGTTCAAGATCACTATTACAAAGTATTTAAATAGTGACACACATTTACAAGCTGCTTTATGAAGACAGACATCCTCTGCCTCAAGAAGATTACAATCTAAACAGGATGTGATATGGACAAGAGTAGGGATGTAGGTCTACAAGGGAATAATAATAACAAAAAGGAGAGAAAATAAATCCTTGGCTAACTGGTCACATTAATGATGTATGATAAATTAGTTGCTACAAACAATTGATTTATTTCATTTTTTATGAATTGTATACATTTATATATTTAACACAAAAATTACAGAAGGAGGATTGAATATTTAAAGTACAAATGTAAAGTACATTTTAGAGTATTTAATTTAAATTTTAAAGTACATTTTAGAGGATTATATACAAGAGCCCACAGCTGGTTGAATAGTAAAAATTAAGCCTTGTTTCTCAAAGATGTATCTGAAAAATGTCATGCTCAATTTGCTCTGTTTTAAGTGATCAGATTAGTAGAAGCACAGCCCAAAGATCTGAGTATCTGGATGGCTGACATGCTCATAATAATGTTTACAAAGCCTGTAAATGGAATGAATTCTAGCAAAAAAAGACCCTGGGAAGGGATTTCAAAAGTTATTCATTATTTTGTTTAAGAAGTTATAGAAAACCAGTCAGGAAAAAGAAAGAATGTCATGTGACTTAGTGGATGTTATAGTCTTAACTGGTTGAATAGAACTTACCCTGAAATTAAAAATTAAAAATTCCTTTGCGCATAATGGGCATGTCCAGATGAGTGCACATGTGCACTTTGTGGCACCTCAAAGGCAAAATGCATATGGCACATGTCAAAAGGTTCTCCACATTTTTTAGATCTCCTGATTTTTAGATACCTGGTATCTAAAAAAAATCCTCCAAAATAAAGCAGGGTGGTGCATGTGCCTGCAGCGTGTGATGCTCAAAACTGGAGCCTGGCCAGCCCGAGCCATGCTCCAGCTGTCAGCCAGACTCCACGCACCTTGGAATTGCTGCCAGTGCAGCCCTGGGAGGCCCCCAGGACCACAGGTAAGGCTGCTGGGGCCAGCCCAGGTGCTGGCCCCAGCTTCCCATACCCAACCCAGGGCAATCTGCCATACACCAAAACATGCATACATGGCCATTCCCTGGAGACAAGTAGCAGTGGCACAACCATGTGCCACTGCAATTTGTCCCCAGGGAATCTCATGTATGTGCTCATTTCCCTTTTGAAAACTGATTTTTACTGTGGTACCAT